AAATTTCTCCCAACTTCTTTACAAGATCGATTGTGCCCCCCCCAATATAAATGTTCTGCGTCCGCCCCTGCGTACACGTTTTGAAAATCCATAAACGTTCAATCTCTTATATGCTTTAATTTTTCCAATAAGAATGGCAGTGCTGCTGAGTGCAGTTGTACCTTTTTCATGTGAAGGCATTTTGACCATTACTCTTGCCCTACCTCATTTGGTGTCCATATTAATAACTCTCTTACCCGACTTGTCCATTCCCCTTCCGTACACAAAAAAGTTCCAAAAATACATTGTTTTTATGTTTGTCTGTTACCTTCACCAAGTGTGGCTTCACTTTTCGAATAGGAATCGAAAGCGATTCAAATGTGTTCCTGATGTGTTCGATCAGATAGTATTGATATTGTTTCTGATGTGTTCGATCAGACGTATTTCATCAACTTTTATCAAAAGTTAAAAAATCTTATTTTTAACTATATCGAATGGAGGCCAAATATGATTGAAAATAGTAAAAAAAAAAAAAAAAGTATATTTTGTTCATACACATCTTTGGATTTTTAATGCGTTATTACGATATTGAATACGATTCACTAGATTGAACACAACATAATCCAGGTGCGAAGCTTGGAGGAAATGCCTCGACTCACGCCTAGGAAGAAAATAGACAATCAACTCGACATTGATGTCTAAAGAATGCCATTGTGGAAGAAGGGGGACCCATTTGTTTCGTCCACATTGGTCATCCGTTTCGGGTCTTTCGTATATTGGCACGTCATGCTCATGACGAAAAATATATTATGGGTTAGGAACATCGGGAATTTATTGTATAAATTCAAATTATAATCGACATAATCTTGTTGGCACCATATTTAAGATGTATGGACCATATTTCAAAAATTCAATATCTGGCCTTCATTACTTTACTTCTGATTTTTTTACGTCTGTACGCGCACTAATCTTATTCTGATACTAACTTTTGTGTTGCTCACAGCATTTAATAGTGGATCTTAAACGAACTAGTTGGCTTGGTCTGACAGAAAATTCAAGAAGTAATTCCAAAATACTGCCCTATCAAATAAATAAAAAAAAAAATTCTATTGATTGTGTTTATTATTAATTTTTATTTTTATATTTTTCAAATCAATATTCAGGCCGATTTTTCAAACATTATAATCTATTGATTGTGTTTATTATATTCCGAGGAATAAATAATTAATTCAAGTTGGAAATTTGTTGAGCGACACATGTGGATTAATTGGGACTGACCAGAGACCAAATACTTGGTTTTCACAACATTAATGACATCAAAATTCTATGTCAATCTTTGTTTCTTTGCACGCTCGTCTTTCAATTGGTGTTCTATTGGAATAGTACATTCCCAAGTCATTTTTAATTAATATTAGTATATTTTGAAGCTTTCAATAACATATATTTTCTAAATTAGACTATGGTTTATAGTTGTGATCGAGAATACCGACAAGAGATCATGTAAGTTTAATAAATTCGTTATTATAGTAATTTATTGCTCTTTTAGTCCTTAATCTATTCATAGTGACTTATTTGTTCTTAGTATTGTGGTTAAAATTTAGTAAGATAGAAGCGACCGTAAATCTTGAAAAACAACAAACTTATATGCTTGTATATCAAAATAACATATAGAACTATAGTTAGAGACGATTGTATGGGTAAAAATAAATCTCAAGCTCATTTTTTTTTTTTTTTATAAAATTTATCCAATGTAACGTAACAAGCGCGAGGTAGCTAGCTCCATACTCGTAGCCATGAAAAGATATTACATGCAAGCATTATCATATAGTCATTGGACATAAAACATAGTGTTCAAGGCAAGTCATGGACTTTGAGATGAAACTATGTGATGTATCTGCGATCCTTTGATGCATATGGTGTGTAATTAAATGCATTTTCGAATTTACTCATACACAACCTATCAAAGTTCTTCAAGGCGAGTCATGGACTTGGAACAAGATACCTATGTGATGTATCCATGATCATGATGCATATGGTGTGAAATTGAATCGACTCTTAAAATGGGAGAAATAGTGGTACATGGGGATAAGAATTTATGTCCAATTATTGAAAAATTGGGGATTTGTCTTATTTGTGAAGGTGACGTTGTCCACATAATTTAAGGAGTAGATTCATAGGTTACGTTCCCCTTTTCATTCACAAAGATTATGGGCTACAATATTTTATTTTAGGAATTGAAAAGGCTACCCCTTTTAATGATTATTACCAAACATTCCCTTGTACTGCTACATACTAAAATAGCCTTTTAAGTGCTTTACACGAACGTGACTGTTTTCCTTTTAAAAAATAATTTAAATTAAATTTAAAATTAATATTCATTAGGGCAGTCCTAAATGACATAGTATGAATATTCATTAAATCGTGACATTTCAAACTTTGAACCACTCGAGTCAACAATCGAACACATAGCAAGGGAGTTAAAGTGGATGGATGGATCAACTAGACATCCAAAATGTCGACTTAAGTGAGTAGGAGAGAAATAGA